ACATGGAACATACAGCCAAGTCAAAGAGTCTGATAGTGAAGATTACCACTCCTGACATAATTAAGTAAACAATCACAGTGTCCTTTTGCCTGACCTCTTTGCCATCTGATGGCATTTAAAGCGTCTTTCCCATCAAAAGGGCATTACTACAGCTTTCAAGAATGTGCCTGTTTCAAAGGCATGATGGTTAGTGGGTGGCAGCTATGTCCTGAGAAGGATCAGGTCTCAAGAGAAACCAGTTAGCTGAGATTTATGAGGTGAGTGAGAGAGGGGAAAAGTTAATATATTCTGTCATGGAAAAGTCCTTTAACAGGGATGCACCCAATAGGATTCTATGGACATTATTCTAAAAACCTGTGGAATTTCAAATAGAACGATCTCCTTTTTATAGAATTTCTAGAACCAACCTGTGGAATAGCTGTGCCTGCTCTAGAATTCTACAGGCCGATTTAAAATTCTATCGAAATTTGATTAATATTCCTATTACATTTGATAGAACTCTTCCAAAGGAATGACATATATAGGTTTTGCCTTCATACATGTTTGTGAGACACTGCTGGTTAAGACCCCAGAAAAGCTGACCCTCAAGTCTGTGCTGTGGTTGAACATGGAGGTATTCTTTGGGATGTACCTGATCTTTGGGGGCAACAAAGGAAATGTGTTTTCCAAGTATACTATGCCTGGAAGGCATTTGTGAGTCAGTAAGAGTGTGCTGAGCAAAATTATCCATAGCGCTCCTTGCTACACAACAAATTCCATAAGCTCTGGCTCTGGTATTTGGTAACAAGAGCTTAAAGTGATGTTTTGTCCACTGATGTCTTTCTTGTTTGTCTCATTTTTCTGCCTTGCATTTGTCTTCCTGTCCTGCTACTTTTCATGCTTTTCAACCACTCATGTATGCATTCATTCATTCATGTATCCATCCATGTCTCTTGCTAGCTGCCACAATCTGAGGAGGTAACCATCTGTCCTGTGTTGTGTGAGCATACCGCTTCCATTATGCCAGCTGGTGTGCTTCTGTGGTAGTTTGTCTAGTCACTGCTGAACTGTACATCCAGGAAGGGGAGGAAGCAGGAGCCCTGTGTATGTGTGTCAGGGTAACACTGGATGTACTGGCGAGCTGTGCTGTTGGATGGAAGTAGACAGGGAGTGCTGTGCTGTATAGTAGTTTAGTCTGTTGGATCATTTTTACATATGTAGAGTATGTCACTGTGAGATGCATGTGTTCTAGCCTAGCCCTAGCTATGCTCAGAATAAGAGCTAACCACCCAGATAGGAGGGCAGTAACAGAATGTTCTTAGCCCAGGAAGGCAGAATACCCAGCTTCAGTCTTTCACCAAGTTACTGGCTCCTTTATGGTTCCCAGCATGCACAGGGAGAGGACACATGACTTTGACCTTGTCAAAGGTTAGATGCTTATCTGGCCAAATGGGAGATAGAAGGGACTTGCTCCCTGTACCAAGGAAGGACAGTCATTTTCATAGCTAGGTATATCGGTGAGTCTCCTGTGCATGTATTTTCTGTATTCAGGCCCACCGATGGAGGTGGGAAGGCAAAGGGGACAGTTGCCCCGGGGCCGATGATTCTAAAGGTCACAGTAGCAGCATCAGTGGCAGGAGCCCCATGAGTTTTAGAATCGGAGCTGGAGCACCGGGCAGTGCACTGCAGAACTCCACATTGTGTGCTCTGGCACCCGGCTCTGAGGGCCAGCAGAGGGGACAGCATGCTTGCCGGGTGGCACTGAGGGCTAGGTACCTCAGCCCCATCCTCTGCGCTCAAAGCCCTGCTCCTGTGAGCTGACCCCACATGCACATTGCCCAGGGGCCCGGTAATCCTGTCAGCCCACCTATGTGTATATCATATGTTCCTTCCATATTCTGTGTGTTTTTAGAATGTCTTTCTCTCAGTGTACTTGGGGGCTCTCTGCTGTCATATTGCATGTATTTGTGCTGTGTCCGATATATATGTCTTTTGGATGTAGCTAAGCATGTTTTGTGTGTTCATACCATACTTTTGCCTCTGTCTTTGCAGTTTTTTAAGCAGTTGCACATGCCATAAGGGCATTTAAATATGCTCTGTGTATGTTCCTCAGTCTTTGCAGTTTCTTAAGCAGTTACACATGCAGTAAGGGCATTTACATATGCTCGGTGCATGTTCCTTTTTAGTCTGTGCTGCTTCTCATTCAATCAGCAAGTGTGAGTTTGGGATTTATTTATTCATGTGATTGGTGTGTCTGTGAGTTTTGCTCATGTCTCTGTTGCTTCTCACTTGTATGTGCACTTTGGTTGTGTGTAAGCATTTTTTGTGTGTATGAATGCCTATCTCCTTGGCATTGACATAGCCTTGGGAAGATCAGACATGTGCCTTATATACAGCCTTTTTTTCTCTGATTACATTCAGCATTTGGTGCCCCTGGGAACTCTATTGCTTCTGATGGTGGCTCCTTACCCTATTATACTTGCTAACACACTGCTCTTTGTCCTGTGGCAGCTCTTTGCATCACAAGCTCAAAGTCTGCTGCTCATGACAACAGTAGCTATGCCGGTCTTCAGCAAAAAGAATGAAACGGTAAGTGGAGTGCTGTCCTGCAGTATCCTGAGTCTCCTTGGAAGTAGGACAGGTAAAAGGATGCTGAGGTGGTCTGCAGTCTTCTAAAGCCATTGGCTAATGATGATAGGCTTTGACAGTGACTCTAGCAAGCTGGTTGGCTCTTAATTGATCTCTATGGGATAATTTGTCCCTCCCTTGGAATATTTCTTCTTCCCAGTGTCACTGAAATCAGAAATTGCATCTTGTTTTCTCCCCCTCCTTTCCCGTCCCGCCCCCTTCTCCTCCCCAGCTTCAAATTCACAGACACCGCTCAAACCTGCCTGTTCACCGTGGAAGAGTGATGCAGAGGCATTTGCCCATGTTAGGTGAAGGCAGCCTGAGCATTATTACAGTATTTCATTTCTGAGAACAGTTTATCCTTTATTTTTAAGAGATCTCATGGCATTCTCTTGGGTGTTGTGGGCTCTGATGTTCCACTGAGGGAGCTACTGAAACTGGCTCCACGGTACAAGGTAAGACCCAAGCGAATGCAAACGGTCAGGCATCATACACAGCTAAATGCCCAGTCACTTGTCCGTAAGCATAATCCAATGAATAATCCATTACTGTGCATAGAGATGTAGACACTGCCATAAACTAGGGACCTTGGATCATGTGATTTCTTTATAGAAACTGAAGAATTATCATTCACCATGACAAACCAATAGGCTATTCTAGAAACAAAGAAACTGTTTTAGTGAGTTGGTAATAGGATTTAGAGGATTTTTTTTTTAAATCTTGATCACCTCCTTCAATGCATTCTAGGATAATAATTATCCAAGTTGTCGCCAGAGAATAACTCTTTGGTGGCCTTTCTAAAAAGAGTTGGCAGTTTCCATCCAGTTCCCAGTAGACTAAAACCACTGTCATAACTGGCACCATCCCATGAGCATCACTGTTGACACTCTGGCAGAAACAGAATTGACAGTTGAGACTGAACTATTTTGTCATGCCTTAGAGGGACTTTCTCCAAGCTAGTTTTGAGATTTGTTGGCAGGGAAGTATGCACTATTGCTATCTGTAATTTTGTGGAGAAAAGGGATTTCAGTCTCCAGACCTGTTAAGCCAGCCCATTTCACCAGCTCTGTGTTCCTTTTAAAATATGTTTTAAAAGAAAGTTGATCTAATTGGAAAAAAATAATTTTAATGAGGCTCTCTAAGGAAGGGCTATTGTCTGTGAGGCCTTTTATTCTTTGCTTCATTGGATTTGTGCTGAGAAATCTATGCCATTGGTCCCTCTAATGAGCCCATTGGGGTCACTTTGACAACAGTGGATGCTGGGTATTATCCCAAAAATCATGTGACTTAAGTTCTGAGTCCAAACTTTCACTTCCTATAAGTGTGACCAAACTAATGGTGAGCAGTCGCATGCACTAGAATCCCTAATGTCTGATTGATAATTACTCTCACAAATAACTCCTCCATCACTATCAAACAATTTACATCTGCATGGAAGTGTTAGAGGTACCAGTTTCCAATGGCTAATTCTTGTCTTCACAAGTGCAAATTATACCTGCGTTTTAAGAACTCCATGAATTGGCTCAAATATATACTATGATCTGATTAGTCACTCAGAGTTCCCCTGCAGTCTAAGTGCGACCTTGCGAAATTGCCTGATCTTGTTAGGCTATGGCACTTGTTAAGCAGTATTTGTACCTAACAATGCAGGATTTACCCCCAGTGCTGCCACACAATGCAGAATCCCTTTGTCAGAGAGTAGGTAGTCCTCTGAAGGAGCCAGGGGCCCAGCCTATCCCTGACATGCTCCATAATGAGGAATGAGACAACTAGGGTTCACCTGAGAGAACTTAAGTCACTGAGTGACTGGAAGCCAGTTAGTTAACAGGGGAGGATACAAGGTGGGCCAATGGTGGGAGTTGGTGGGCCAATGGATACACTCCCCCCAACACAGAGCAGCAACTGAAGGGGAGACAGGGCTAATTATTGTGATGCCTTTTTCTAACAGTTGGGAGTCCATGGATATGCCTTTCTGAACACTAACAACGGTTACATCCTCTCGCACCCAGACCTCCGGCCTTTGGTAGGTGATTCTGATGCCCACAGTACTGGTGGGACTTAAATCTATGGGCTTTCAGAGAGACTAATGTATCTTGTGTTATTATTATACAACTAGCTAGGGCTAAGAGGC